TTTTATTTTTTTTCCCACACCACAAATGCCACCAACACCATATGGTCTGCCAGATTGTCTAGCCCAACCAATGGGGCTGCTTGCATCTGAACCTAGACCAGCAGAAGCCTTTTCTGTTCTTGGCATAGAGGGAGCTGTGTATGTAGGCCACAGAGGTATTTCTACGTGGGGAGTATGTTTGTTCCAGAACCCAAAAAAGCCTACCAGATGCTCTGTTTCTTTATTAGTAGTAGGGGATATAAAAGATTTAACTGTTTATTATATTTTTTGTATTTTTATGTTATATATATAACACAAATATGTATTTTATATAAAATAAGAAAATATAACAATACACTATTTTACACAATCTTTGACAAAAACTTTGTTTTATAAAGTATTTAGGAATGTTTGAACAGATAGAAAATAGAGTGAAAGTAACCAAGCAGAAAGCCATCTTAACCGTATGACTGAGAGGAGATGAATCCTATGATTAATGTGATCCCAAACTCAAGATATCCAAATAATGAAGTGAAAGATACCTATTATACATCACTAAATTGGTTTTGCATTACTAAGCTATATGAATTATAACTTGATCCCCAATAATTCCATGAATGCAAGTACCTTTGTACCTCTCCGCTTTGTTCATTTCATTTCATCCTCTCAAAATTCTTATTCTTTCCCACACTGCTTGTGTCTTCACTTCTTATATTAGTCCCCATCTGTCATAAAATCTTGAATCTTGGTTTCATTTTAAGACTGGGACCTATAGTGAACTCTAGATCCAATTTGAGTCTTTACTTCCTTAGGTATCAAATAAATAGTTCATAAAATGTGTGTTTCTCATGATTCTTTAGTGATCTGAAAAGTCACAAATAGGAAAACTCTTCGAATATTGCTCTTCATCTCTGTATAAAGATACTGTCTTTTTGTTATTAGCTTTAGACTTTATCAGCATGTTACCTCTCTTAGAACTATATTGTCTTCTGAAATATTTGACCTATGGAGTAGCAGAATGGCAACATAAAACAGAAGAACAAGGGGCATGCAAATGCATGTTGAGATATAAATGGAACAATAATTTCTGATGATATGAAAGTCTTGTTTTTTCCAGCCTCATTTATTTGCATCTTGGATATAAGAAGGTGAAAATCTACATCTCATGAACCTAATTAATTCTTACCAAAGTTAATTGGCTTCCTTCTTACACCAATGAAGAAATTAATTATGTACTAAAGTCCTCAGTGAGACAAAGGGATATGGTTCTTTTTGCTACCCAACATTGACTGACTCAAAGAAAACTCTTTAAACTAATGTACAAAACTTTCATATAACCTAAAAGTTTTCCCCACACAGTTGTAATTTCCAAGTTCCTTGTTTTTCTCTCTCAGTCAGCAAACATCAACACCCCACACCCTTTGAAGGAAATGTGCTCTGTGTTGCTCCTGAGATGATCATCCATGTAAAGCCTATGCATGCGGTATAAGGATTTCAGAAAACAGCACTGTTGAAGAAGGGCACATTAAAAGCCCAAAATAAATTAGTTCAAAGCTACTGATAGTAGGTTTCTAAAGTTTGCTCTCAGAAGTGTAGTAGACTTTAACCTAAATACATTCCCCACCCTGCAAAAAAAAAAAAAAAACAGGAAACACCAAAACTTAGCCAGTTAAAACTAATAACAAAATTAGCAGCATATTTGGAAGCCAGAATAAATGATTTTATTAGATTATATTCATTCCATTAATTCATCCAGTAATATTAAACATTGAGCTTAGTATATGTTACAGTGTTTTGGCCAGTATTTTATGACTGGACAAATGGTGAAGAGCAGTTGATCAGAGCTTCTTTTCTCCTGAAGATCATGAAGTTGATAAATGCTCTGTTTAGAGGTTAGACATATTGCTCAAAGCATCTGCACTCTCAACAAGCTGATCAATAGAAGCCAGACTGACAGGTTGGTCTGTAACAGGATGATTGGCAGCTCCTAGGGGCAAAGTAGGTTGGACGGTAGAAACCGAATCCATGGCTCAGAGGAGGGAAGCCACAGACTCCACAGCCCAGGGGTCTGAAGCCATGGGACCCAAAGCCCAGTGAGTAGCAGCTTCTGGACCCAGCGCCCAGGAAGCAGCCTCTTCCGGACCCAGAGCCTGGAGACCTAGCATAAGTTTTCTGGAAGGGACTGCAGAGCATGGAGGTCCTTGGGCGGTAGCAGGATGTCTGGCAGGGGCTGGATACCACATAAGACGTCTGGCACCTGATAGGCTTACAACAGGTCTCCTGACAGCCGCTGTGAAGAGAGGAGTCCTGCTGGCAGGTGCTGGGAGAGCAGCAGTCAGTGGTGTAGACCAGGTTGCTGGGGTAGGAAGAGCCACAGCAGGAGCCTGGGTAGAGCAGTGGGTCCCCAAGGGAGCGGGCGGAGAAGCTTCCAGAGCAGCAGTTGTAGGACATGGTGACAGGAGGTGTTAGTTCAAATGAGTGACAATGAGAAGATTCTGAGGTTTAATGTCACCTCCTGGACTGGGGTGTTTTTATACTTTCAGCCGTGGGTGTGGCATTCTACAGACTTACCTTTCTCATGCTTGTAATCTTTCATTTCCATATGTGTAATTCACAATATTTTCTGTAATTGCAGATGAAAAATTCCTTTCATTTCATATTTATGAGTGAATTCACCTTGTTGTTAAAGCACTAAGCTAATGACCTATTCCAATGTCAGAAATTCTATGACTATATGTCATTAATGCCATCTCATCATGACCAGGAAATCCCCTATTTTTCTCCTTGGCCAGGACTCTTTGTGCATTTGACTCTATATTTTGGCTGGGGATTGGTGCTTAATTGTAAGAGCAGGGATTAAGACAAAGTAAATTTATTCTTTGTCAGTGGAACAGAGACATCCTATTTGTCACCAATGATCTTCTTTCCCTAAATTTACAAAATAATTTTTATATATTTTATTACACAGTATCTTCTCAAATTCTTTGGAAAGGGGAAGATAGGTCAGGTAAATTGAACAAGAAATATGGTGGATCACAGAGAGAACCAGGACAAGTGTTTGGAGGCAAAATGACAAAGGACGTCTAACAGAGACTCAGGGTATACCAGTTCGAGCATATGTGAAAAGACTCAAAGAGGAGTCTTTTAGAGACAAGAGGATATAAGTAGTGACTTTATGGGGTTTTCCATCTCTGTGTAATTTAAGTTAAAATATTCAGTATCAGTATCGTTTATGATTTTTCATATCTACATTGTTCTTTTTGTCACCTATATTTAAAATGTTCTATAGAGCTTGCTCTTCTGGAACAACTCCAATCAAGCAGTACCTTCGAATATTTTTACCTTCAGATTCTTTCATACAGTTTTCTTTTTCACAGCAAAACATACTTTTCCCCTACTTTACTTCTTTAAGATTATTTTTCCACTGTTAAATATCCAAATATCTTCTTTTTATAGAGATTTCCATTTCAGGCAAATCTGAACTAAAATGAAAACTGAAGCATTTTCTCCAGTTTAAAAAAGACCAATAATCTCAGAGGGGAACTTGGAATTGCAGGAGGGGAAAAAGAGGACTGAAATGTAAGTAAATTTTGTCTAAATACTCATTGTGCACAATACTAATAAAATGAGTCTCAGTATATAGGTAGAAGTAAGCAGTACTAAATTAAGGATGATTGTTAAAATCTCAAGAAATTGCTTAAAAATTAAAAGCTTAGAAAACACATTGAAAAAGTAAAATTATAGCATTAAGCCATTTTCTTACCCCCTTCTAAAGCATGAAAGGGGACAAAAAGGACCATAAAAGATGTATCAAATAGCAACAAAATAGTAAATATGTAAGTAGAATCTGACTTATCAACAATTAAATCAAACACGACAAAATCATCTATAAAAAAGACCCAGAATTTCAGACTAGACTGAAAATCAAAACTATTTTCTATTTAAAATAGTTCTTCTTAAATATAAGGAAACAGAAAAGGGAAAAGTAAAAGATATATCAGGCAAAAGAAACAAAAAATGCTAGTTCTGCTTCATTCATCTCAAATTTTGCTGTATGATAAGTTTATTAGATTTTAATCAAAAACTTAATCTCACGATCTTTAAAAATTCTAAATTTTTTTCTTATGGGCTCCCAGCCACCGGGATAAAAGTCCTAGTCCATGCAATGATGTGAAGGCCACACCTTTCTGAAATCTCTATTTTCCAAACAATTTCTTGAAAATAGTTGTCTTATCACAAGAGTGGCTTATGGCCGACTCAAGGCAGGACCTGTCTTTATAAAAATAATGAAGTCAGCAAAATGTGTCTATAGTGACAGATCCTTCTGGCTGTCCTGCCAAGCTGCAATGATATGCTCTTCCCTTCTCTGTACCTCTCTAACCCTCCTGACATCAATGTGGTCATCAGTGATAGCTGTTGAAATAATAGATCACAAAATCTCAGCTTCTCTATCAAATCCAGCCCACATAGGTTTGTTTATTGCAAACTACAGGTCTCCATAGGATTTTTATTAAACTCCAGATTAGTTGCTAATATTTGAAAATCAAAAGAATTCACATAAAAGGTGGATTTGTGCCTTTCAAAATTTCTGAAAATCTGGTGACACCGGGCTGTTTTGCTTGCTGCTGCTTGGAACTGGATACAAGCTGCTCCATGCCTCCAGGGCGTGCGTCCTCTAACACCCAACCACAGCAGCCACTCCTTAACTTCAGTCACCAGTAGTCAGCAAGCCTGCACTACTGTTTTGTTGTGCTAGTTAATGTCTCTATCATCAACAGAGCAATGAGCGATAAACTTTACAGAGCAATGAGCGATAGACTTTGGAGTTTAAGGCAATTTGTGAAAACAAACTCCCCTGTGTACTTGAAGGATAGTCTTCCACATTTAACAGGAAAATATCATGCATCTGTGTTGATGAATTAGAATATAAAGCATCAGTTATGAGGCAAATTACAACTCAACTGGACCACCTCACTTCTGTGATCCTCTGATTTAAAGTGCTCTATATGCCAGAAGAATTTGAGTTGGTTTTTATATACTGGGCAAAGACTTAAATCAGTGATGTCCATGAACCAACCTAAAAATAAATTCATAATTTTTAAAAAGCCCGGGTGATTGATTCCTTCCCAGGTTGCTCCACGTGTGATTTGATCATACTATCATTGTTAAATTAAAGGTTTAACATCTAGCCAGGAGCCCATAAGAGATGCTCATAGACGTCTAAAATCATACTGCATGCATGACAAGTGCAACCACTTTTGTACAGGAATTGTCTTTCCAAGAATACAAAGCATAACATTAAAAATAGCGAAAAGGAAATCTGTTTTCTGTTTATAACATCATCATTCTATTGTGATGGGCAGTTCCTTCTAATAATATGCTGTACCCCTTCTTCTTGCCACTGCACAAATATAATAGCTGTGACAGATGCTGTATTTGGGAATGTTGAAGATGGATTTGGTAGCATTAATATCCATCCTGCAAGATGCAGTGTCTTAGGGACTGAACAAAAGCTGCCTGTCACTACCCAGTGACACCGTGATGGCCTCATGGTGACTACTAATGATTCACTATAAATACGGACAAGAAGAACAGCAGTTTTGATGGACTACGATAGCTACAATTGGGAGGCAGAATAAAAAGGATGTTTTAGTTAAAAGTCAAATGAATGGCATGTGAATATATGAGTGAGACTAAAGCAATCTTTGGCATTCCATGAATATATGTCTATTGACTGTAAAGAGAAGTTAGACAGCAGATATCTTACATGAAATAAAGAGTGTAAGAGGCTCTGTGAATATTAGCTCCTTTTTGCTTGTTCTTTCTTTGACTGGGTAGCTGAATGAGGGTTGACAATATCCATTAACAGATTTGGAAGTTTTTCCACTAGGAGGTGTGGGTCGGGTAAGACCCATGGGCTTGGATTTATCCAGCTGGTATCAAGTTTTGGACTAGAGGGAAGTAGTGAGATGGGGGAAAGAGAACAAGAAGGAGACGTGTGTGTGAGCACCTTTCCTCTCCTGCTGCTTTGTAAAGGTTTGGACTCATTCTGATCTTGGGGTGTCATCATCCCCTGCCTCATTTCTCTTTACCCAAAATCTCTGCTGGTTGAAGGCGTGGTGAGTGGCTTCACAGAAGGCAGCTTTGCATTTTCTCTGCATTTGTTCATCTAACCACTGGAAGGTAACCTAGGGTTGAGTGAGCTTTCTGCTCCTCGATCTTCATCTCCAGAGGTGGGGGTAGGCAGGTTGTGGTGGGGTAAGGGTAAGGACTACATGGAGGGGAGAGCAGAACAAAGGATGCTAAAGAGGAAGAGTTTATTCTAGGGTGCTTTTGTATTTTCAGAGGCTTCAAATTAGAGGATACTTGAGGTTTCTTTGTTTCCTGCACTTGTTCACCCTTGTAATTAGGCAGGTGCCCTAGACTGAAATGGAGCCCAGTTATCTCTGGAGTGGACTTGTTTTATTGTGCTCAGTTGGTTGAACATGGCAGCAGATGGACGGTCGGAGGCACAGACATGGCAGAGGCGATGGGATCCCAAAGTCTGTTGGAGACAACTGGAGAGCTCTGACACCTGGGAAACTTTTAATCTAGGGTTTTTGTTTCGGTTTTCTTGCTTAACTTGAGGTGTAAATTGTTTAACTCAGTTTATTCATTTTACCATTTCATTGCTCAAATTCTATGA